ATTGGTTATTACCGATAAAGTATTTACACGTTTCATACAAGATCTCATCTAAGAGGCAGTGAAGTTCCTTCAGAAAAGGTTAGGTATATAAAAGGTATGTCTACCCTCAATCTAGAATCGACAATGTCTAATGATTCTTTCAAAGGGACGTTAGTATATAAATTTTTCACATCAATATTAACAAATTTGTTAAGGACCTAATTCTATGATCTACTAATTCTAAATGGCACCTAGGATTTTTCTTTTACTTTATTTGATAGAAAATGACCATCTGAATAGACCGGCATATCATATGGCAATTTTTACATTTTCGCTTAAAAAATCGTATTTTAAATTTCAACCTAGAATGTCAAGACTGTGTTAAAAACACTAATTTTTAATAAAGATGAATTGGGAAAACTGATTTGAACGTCTAATTTTAGTGTCTGTCATGGCCAGTTAAAAATGCCTAAATCGTATTTTTAATCATAGGTATCTCAATTTTTTCAAATGGATCAAGGGTGGCTCATTAGCATATTTAGAAAAAAATATTTTTTACGAAAGGGTGGGGATCTTAAAAAAATAATTCTTTCAAATTTTTTAAGAATTGGATAAAGAATTAGATATTTGAGAACCATAGAAATAGTAGGTATGTGTAGTTACAGCATATATAAAGTTTTAATACCTATATGGGTGTTTCTCCAGAAAGATTATTTTTTCTTTTCTCTGTATTTTAATTATTTACCTTATAAAAGTATACTATTTTTTGCACAGGAGTAACAGTAAATGTATTTTTAAAAAATTCAGAGGATAGGTCGGTATCAAAAAATATTATTAACATTTTTTTTAAGCTCAAGTACGAAAACGTCATGTCCTCTGGCTGTCAAAAAATAAGTAAAAACTAATTAACATTTCTGGTTTTACAAAAAGAATAATGTTTTCTTTTATTATACGCCTTTACATTTTGTCACCATAATCTAACGTCAGTCCTCTGGTTCAAAGTTATTGTTCCTTAAATTTCAACTAGATGTCACTAATATATTTTATTAAACCTTTGAATAAGAAGACTAAGGAAGGAGCATAATGCTCTCCATGTATTCATGCATGGTGGGCGGAAAAAGCACTCTAGGGTGGGGATGCTTGACAGTTCTGTTTGACGATTCATTTGACACATTTGAATTTGATTTGAAATTTTGTGGATTTGTCAGTCTTTACGGAGCTTATTTTATGTTATTTATTATTTATTCGACTACTGATAGTTGTATAAAGGTAGTAAATCTAGATGGAAATTGTGGCAGAACTTAAATTAACAGTGACACTAACGCGATTTATCGAAAAAGACTCTAAAATAGTTGGTTGTGTAGCGTGCGGTAGATCTTGGCAAAAATTGAGTGAAATAATGGAACAACTTTTCGCTAATAAGTGACTATATAATATACATACGTGTAGTAAACCGATCATTTATGAAATTCACTTAAATTAACTAAATTATCTATTTTTCTTGCATTTTAGCTTTTATTTATTACTTGTCAAAGATTAGATGTCAAAGAATTTAGATACGTTAATTTGACTTACTTGCTTCAGTAGCGTATCGGATGTTTGTGTTAATAAATACTTATTATAACTTATCTATTTTTATTAGAATTATATATTTTTATAAAAATTTTAATAACTACCAACATTTATTCACAACGTAAAATAAAAAAAAAATATTGAGTCTACCCCACATCTACCCTACATCATAGTTTTACATTTTTTAAATAAAATTAGAACGACACTGATAAATCGGAATTTAAGTCGGCCATATTTGAGGCCCATCGCGGTGTACCTAAGATTTTTGATATGCTCCTTCCTTAGTCTTCTTATTCAAAGTATTAAACGAAAGGAAATCATTGTTGTGTTTGTTTTATATCTATGGTAACATAAACGAACTATTTGTTAATTAATTTGTGCTATTAAACAATTTGTGTTTAGATACAAGGTGTCACAGTTTAACAATCAGTCTTCTGGTAAGTGTTTTTATATTTTTTGAAAATAATATTAATGCTATTTTTCAGTTTAAAGATTATAATTGCTAGGCTGAAAGTAATTCACGTGCTATTTAAAGAAGAAAAATTTTAAATTAGTCATTCCTCTGGCATCATTCCTCTGGAAATAAAAAATACCAGAGGAATGACGATATCCCAGAGGAATGTTTCTTACCTCAATACTTTAATACCCCATTTTTCTTATCACGAATATAGTAAATATTAATTAATGTAGGGCACATAGATATTTATTATGGAATATGACATTATTTTTAGATTAAACATGGCGAGAACGAGACGGAAACAACCAGATGGTCGCGAAGAGAAATTGAGAAAGAAAAGAGATGCAGAAAAAAGAAGATACGAGCGTATAAAAGAGACTCCTTAGAAGAAAATTATAAACCTTCACAAACTCTACCCAAAAATTTCCAAGTTTACTTGGAATTGTTATGAGGCTGGGCACGGTAAAGGAGCCCCAGATGGCATTGGGGGTGTCACTAAAAGGACTGCTGATAGGCTAGTAGCCGTAGAAAAAGATATTGGTTCCTTTGAAGGCCCTAATAACACATTTTAAAGAAAACATAATAAAAGTGACATATTTTACAATAACGAAACAAGATATTGATGGAATCGAAAACATTATTAAAAACGAAAGCAAAAATATAAAGCCTTTTGTTGGCACAATGAAAGTGCATCAAATTACGATGGATGACTATTCCTTAGGGCAATTAATTTTTTTTTCATTAAGCAGTTTTGAGACAAAAAAACATTAACTTTCTATTGGGTCGAATACGGTATTCCAAGGAAAAAGCATTAAATGAATCTGAGTCTTTTGTGGATCCTGAAGATGAATTACCATTGATTAATTACGTTGGTCAGAATAATGATAATTCATTATATTTTAATGGTACTCCGACAAATTATGTTTCCGACGATAATACAGCCGGCAAAAGTGCTCCCAGCAAAGAAAAATAATTTTGTAAGACATTTTCAGATTCTGAAGGTGAATCGTTAGTTACCTTTATTGCCAAGAAAAATATTAAAAAAATTCGATACGAAGATGTGTATTCCGATGATGAAGTTGGTTCCAGTATTAAACTTTTAGATGCCTTTGAACTTACGCCAAAAAATATCAAATCTGGAACTTAGCTTTTAATTCAATACAAAATGCCGAAAACAAACTATCGATACGTGGGTGTTACACAGAGCGACCTTACTGATGATGACGAAGTGAAAGTGATGTTCTTAAAAGTATGTACTTTACGGAAGACCCAAGCTTTTATACTCAATAAAAAAGATGTATCTTTTGTAAAGTATGAACAGATCATATAGTTTTGTCGGTACCTTTAATATCAATGTATAGAAAACTTATTACATACTTTCAAAAACATCATGTTTTTGAAAAGTCTTAATTTACTTTTAAATGTATTTATTACTGATATTATTCTTAATTTTGCAATAAATACTTTTTGATTATATTTTTTTTTTGTTTACTTCAAGATAATATGGTTCCTCTGTTTTTATAATCATTCCTCTGGATGCAGTTTTTTTGAAAATATTCTGTAAATTTACGAAAATGAATAAATAAATGTGTTCCTCAATGGAGCTTTTATATTTCTTGTCTACTTAAAAAGAATTTCAGGAATAAGTCAGCATTTTGTTACTTTTTATTTTTTTTATAACATACTCCAAATGGTAATAGTTGTGGAGAAACACCCATATAATGTGTTGCAGATGTTAAAACACTTAAAAACTATAGTAATCGCAAAACAATTTCCGATGCACGTGATCAACTTTGAGTGACAAGCGATGGCGACAGCGCTGCCAGATTGTGATGGATTTATGTGGTGGATATAATCTTAATTTAAAATTGACACACAATATATTTATTATATCATTTTTTAAAGAGTTTTTCGTTTTATTTTTAATTTAATAACTAGTATTTTAGTGATTAATTGAATTATTTGTTTTATAGCTTATTTTACTTATTACATATTGGCAAAAACTAGTCCTTTATGAAGATTATTATTAGCGTTATTATGGGTTATTTATTTATTGATGTACATCTTACAGCGCCATAGGTGGTAATAACAAGTAAGAGGGTGCTATTAATGCACAAACTAATAATCACAGAATTTAATAAAAACTAACTTTGAAAGTAGTATAATGTGCTTACCAATCAAACTTACTTTTCTGACTGCAGTTTGCTGCAGTCAAGGGTAATAAAGGACCTTTATAGTCACGTTCTCGTTCAAAATAGTTTTAAAAAAACAGGGAAGCTACAAGATCTTTGCTTCGACTGTTTAAATGCTTCGGCATATTTTCAACATACAATTACAAGAAATGCAATACAAAAACTCGAAAATTTAGTTCTTAAAGGAACTGTTTGTGCTTAAAAGTGAAATTTTTAAGAAAAGACTATGAAAATAGGCAAAATAATGACTGACACTACGATAATTGTCAAATAATAAAGGACAACATTGCTGAACACGGTGCAATGTGACCAAAATAGCGATAATAAAATTCGGTTTAAACTAATTTTTGCAGCTTTAATCTAAATAAAATATCTGTTACAATCATTTGCTCTATAAAGTAAAATGAACAGCTGCTCGGTATCTTAATTTAAACATTTTTGCCAAAATTTCATTTAGTCAGGTTTATAGAATTTAGTGTCAATGTCGATATGATTGATGACGTGAATCGGAAAATGTTTTGCGATTACCTGATTATTATTAACTTTTTTGAACTATTAAGCTATAGATATACATACACATACAATTACATACCTAGTACAACATTTAAATATTAAAATCGCAATCGCAGCTTACAGTCGCTGCGATTTAAAAATCGCAATCGCAGTTTTGCTTATCTCTAATTTAAATAAATTATTTGATAACGTACTATGTTGTATCATGATTCTTTTAAACGATAAACGATTTTATTATTAATATAGAATTGTGACGTTTTTTATAGTATTTTTCCTATCCGACTTACCAATTAATGTTACTGACACGCCTCCGCCATTTTTCTTCTTGGGCAGTGGCGGAGGTGTGCCGTCAAGGTCGCTGCAAGTGCCCGAATCTAACGTGTCGCTCGGGCTCATTTGTCCGCTGGTCAGGAACTGGTTGAAGAAGTAATGGGACGGGCTCGACCTGCCCACGGCATCCACCATGGTACTGTTTTGGTACGGGTCGGAGTTGTTCACTGAAACAAAACGGCTGCATAAAGTAGGTATAGATATATTACTATAAGTGGAGTAGGTAAATTACTACACTCAGATGCAAAAAAACGCAACGGAAAAATTTTGTGTCAAAATTAAAGTGTTATATTTTTGTTAATTTTAGCCCTATTTTCATGAATTTTTTAGCAACCTGTATATAATTATATCAGCTTTAATTTGTAAACTCAGTTTTTTTATAAACTCTAGTATTTTGCATATTATACAGGGTTAATCGAGGGGTTGTTTTTTTACCCTAACTTTAAAACACCTTGTGTAATAATTTCGTGTGGAAATTTCCTTGAAATATAATTTTACGGTCAGAACCATGTCTCCTAAGCATTTTGTTTTTTGGATCATGTCAAAATATGCTTTGGTTAATTTTTAAGAGCGAAATGAACTTGACACCAACAATTTGTAATTTTTTCAATTATCATTTCTTTTTGAAGTTATTTTTCAATATGACAAGTCGGCTTTGGTGATTATTGTGAACTATATGCTACTATGAACTGCCCATCATGTTCGATGTTTGGGATATGACTGGCAGAAGGGTTAGAGGTCGCGAAGCGGTACCAGCTTCATTAAATGAACTTCGCGTGGTTCTTAAAGAAGAATGGGAAAGCATAACGCAATATCACAGAACAGATACAATGTATCTGTTGTTGACGTTGACAGATAAACAATGATTTAAACGTCCTTTGTTTATTGATTGGTTGACAACTGATGTTTAAAGCATTGTTTATTTGTGAACCTGAACCATAACCATTAGGTTATTCGCTTAAAATCGGCTATAGTGTAAATAGGTCGTGGAAAAGGTTTTGGGCAGGCACGAAATTATGATGTCATGTTATCATAATATGATGGCTACCGTTTTCAATCCGAATCTACCGTTTTCTATACGTTGAATCTACCGCCTTGGCCATTTTAGATCTGGCAGCACTGTCAGACGTATAAAGGCAGTTACCCAAGTAGCATTTTCACGACTTGTGACTACATGTTAAACACAACGTTGGATTAGTTACAAAAATTAGTTAGGTCCGTACCTTGGGTATTAAAATAAATGTAAACGTTGTTGTAACGTTGCGCCGACGTTGAACTTATAGTACTACAAGTACTACAAAATGTTGTCTTGTAACCTTTTTTGCTTAAGTGATCTTTAGGTGATTCGGACAACGTAGTTACAATGTTGGGCAATAAAGAGTTTTCCGACGTCACTTTCAGAACCTATTCTAACGTTATGCAAACGTCGTCTGTTTTACTAATTCCAACGTTGTTTAGATTTCCTTATTCTTACGTTGGTAGGACGTCGAGCCACTACCTTTTTGGCAACTGTATTGAACCATATAACCTTAAATCTTAAATTTTCACTTCATTGTTCTGTTCAGTCAGACAGTTCAGTGCTGTTTTTGTTTTTATAAAAAAAACTTAATTAAAATGGGACGTAAGAAAGGCACATATAAAACTAAATTTAAATATACATCGATATATTACCGATATTTTATCCACTCCATCGTTTATTTAGAATATAGAGGACGGCACAAGCTAGACTCTAGGATGACTATATTAGGCAATCTTACGACTAGTATACTACCTGTTAAGCCTGAACTCCGACTTTATTAGTCCAGTATGCGACTACTCGAACTACTCCATCTTAATCTCCAAAACAACAAAGTGAAAGCCGCCATGTTGTTAAATAAGAAAATGTTTCGTTCCTAAAATAGCAATTCCTGCTTTTTGAATACATTAACTTGAAATATTTGACCCTAAACAACACGCGGAAACAATTTTTTTTGACTGCGAATAAATTATTCTCATTTTACTAAAAAAAAATTCAAGAATTTTTTTAAAACTTCTTTAATTTTAAGGTCCATTAGTATTTTTCAAGGTAGAAACAATACATTTATCAATAAAGTTGTTTGCGTCTAACTTTTTTGCCTTCGGTAACGAGTTACAGAGTTGGTTAAAGTGTTTCAATAATTATGATCTTCAAACATCCTCCACACTTAAATACTTTTGTTTTGTTTTTCTTTACTGCCATCTGGCATATGTGTCTAACTAAATCATAAAAATAATATTTTTACTATAATAATCCCAATTTAGGATAAAACGAGACTTAGACGCCATATTATTATAGTTTTGTATTTCTGTCAATTAGGATTTTAAACAACGTTGCAGTTTGTACTACATTAGGCTACTAGTCCACGTAGGTATCCAACGTCGTTTCGACCCAAAAATTATTCTCCAAACTAGTGCAGACTAGGGTTGGCACGAGGTTGTGCCGACGTTGCGCCCCTACGTTTGGTCGCGTGACACAACGTTGTCCCGACGTCCAAATGCTGCTTGGGTATAGCAGTCAGGGGAAGCAATGCAAAGTATTAGGGTACTTTTTACATTTTTTTTCTGTTTGTATATTTAAGTACTACAGATGCTTTCTCTAATATCGTTAGTTCTGTTATCGTTATTAATGTTTATTAAAACCAGGATTGTGTCGTTAGCCTTTAACGTTTTTTTTTTTATTTAGTATAAAGTATCCAATGCTGCGTAATATGACATTACGACAATAGTAACCAAAACCATCCCATCATATTAAAAAATTACATGAAAAAGTAATGATAATTGAAAAAATTGCAAATTGATCGTGATCAATTTATTTCGCTCTTAAAAATTAACCAAAGGATGTATTGACATGAATCAAAAAACAAAATGCTCAGGAGTCATGGTTCTGACAGTAAAATTATATTTTTGGACAATTTACGTACGAAATTATTGCACAGGGTGTTTTAAAGTGAGGGTAAAAAAACTACCCCTCGATTAACCCTGTATAATATCACGGCCTGTGTCACGGCCTTGAATTTTTACTCCCAAAGCGCGTAAAGAAGTTTCACTTCAAAAAATTATATGTTGAATATTTTTTAATCAAATTTATTTTAAAATATTTTTATTGAAAAAAAAATCGAATGCTCCAAAATGAAGAAAATAAATGTTAAATTAAATTAAATCAATGTTAATCAAGCTTGTTGATATGCTTCTTACTTAATATTCTTATTTAAAAGGCAGTCTATAATAATTAAAATCTTTTTGAGATATTTCAATTTCAATATCAATTTGAAATCTTTGAATTTCCCTTAATAGAGCTGATGTGAATAGATATTTTGGTATGCGTGGGCGAAGCTATTTGACATTGGAAATTGAATGGAAGTCTCATAACGGCAATGAATCATTTAAATAGTGGTATGCCTAGATTAATTGAAATATCTTAAGCTAATTTGGACATTTTCAAAATAATATTCGAATATCAGCGATTTGGATCTCTATGGATATAACCATAGGTACAGTTCATAACAAATAAACGTTTAGATACGTGATAATTTCGACATTTTTTACGTAAAAAGACACGTAAATGTATAGTTTTTTCACTCAGTAGTTTTATACAGGTACGGACGAAAAGTTATTACTCTTTAAAAGAGTTAAAACACATGTAGGTGGCGCCCCCTACAAATAGGAGTCATATTGATGTCAAAATCCAAATTTCTCACATCAAAAATTTCCCAGACTTCAGAAATTATTTGCAAAAAATCGAAATAAAAATAAAACTTCTACACTCTGTATCTCCGAAACTAAGCATTTTAGGACATACAATTATACGAATTTTTTTATTTATTTTTATCTGCCGCAGAGTATGCGGCCGAAGTTTTCGGAATACAGTTCGGACCACCCTGTATACAGCCTGTGTCCCAGAAATGTGTGCAAATATTTTAAGGAGTGGGAGATCTGGCCAAAAGAAACATATTTTCTCTTTTTCATTTTTAAAATAAATTGAAAATAACCGAGTTATTTAACTTTGAAAATTTAAAAAAATAATAGCAACATTTTGAGAACCGCCGGCAGATATCGCCAACTACGCCCAATTAACCGGATCAAGCCCGGATCTCAGGTAATTCGACGCCCTGTGTTGCCACATGGACAAGAAAGTATATGCTTAAAAAAAGTCTTAAAATCACACCACCTGAGGAGTTTGGCAGAGATTGCAGAGATGCATTACATTTAAGATTGTGATATTATTAGAAAAAATGAATAAAAAAACTTACCCAACATTAAAAAAATATTTATGACCGATCGATATAACTGTTACCCAGTTCTCTTTTTTGATACACACTTAACTAATACACTAACTTCACTGTGCTGCTTTACTTGTACATGCTGTCTATGCTGTATAACTGCTAAAATAACAGTCCCCATTTCTAACACATTCTTTTCATATAGGCTTCATCACAATTTGAACCTCTGTTTTACAAAGCATCTTGAAAAGGGCACATTACTTTGAATACCTTTCCGAATGAATACATTTTGAGAATTATTGTCTCTTATCCCCACTTTACGAACTTTCAATCTAAAAAAAAATACATGTTTGACTCAACAATTTTTGTTGAGTCAACAAATAAAATTGTTGAGTGAAACATGTATTGTGATGAATGATTTTATTAAATTTATTCCAAAATAAAGTTATTTTGCAGCATAACAAAGATTTTCGTAAACGTCATAAAGGTAATGTTTAAGTTAATATTTGGTCGTATTAATAAGTAATGAGCATCGATAAAAGATTAAATTTAACATTCCTAATTTTTTGTGTAGAAATTTGTCAATTTATAAATATAGAATTATATAGAATGTGGATAACATAGGAGGTTGAAACACTGCAAGGTTTAGATACACCGTAGAGAAAACTCAGGTGAATAAACAAGTACCACTAAAAAGCTTTTCAAAATTTCCCGGAAAATGTCAAGAAAAATTTTAAATTTTCAAAAATATTTTTTTTCGCAAAGAAACCCCGTAGGCGTGTTTTTAGAGTCGAAATATGTTACCAGTTAAAATACTTGCACTTATTTCTGAGACACCCTGTATATTGTTATTCGATATTCGATAGCTATCGATAGTTATCGACGTATCAGAAAAACTTCCATCCCTAATTATGGCGCTGAAATTGTTA